CATTCATAAATCTTTTTTTAATTGCATTTCCTTCCCATTGCTATGATCATGTGGTAGCAGAGGTAAAATACTTTAACTGTTTAGGCCATCAATACTCTTGAATGGAGATTCTAATTCTCATGTGTTTGTTTCGGCACTGAAACATCGACATCTGCTTTCCATTTGAGAATTCATCTCTTTCCAAGCCTGGCATTAGACTCATCCTGTTGTATACACAGCTCTGAGTTCCTGCAAAGCTCACCACTATATATTTCATCCAGATTGCTTCTCACTTCTCTCTGGAGATTTCATGGAAGTTAATTTTGGCACACAATTGGGTGTAATTCTTGCTCAATTTCTCCAGTGTTAACTTGCAACTTGTAAAGTTTTTCCCAAAGCATGTTGCAAAAATTATTGGAAGAATACTGAAGATTTCTGGCTGATAGCCAGACCTAGTCTGATAGGCTTTATTTCAGACAGAACTTACTCTTTTGAACTGCAGTTGCATGATGATACCTGGGAAAGATATTTTTCCTCTTTTATTTTTTATTGGGTGTCTTGGAACCATGGGGAAGGAAGGAAGAAGGAAGAGAATTTACCTGCAGCTTTTCTGTGATAATAATAAGTTACATATGTATTGAAGACTTCACAGTATATGAAGGGCTTTCATATGCATTATCTCACATGGTACTCAGAACCATCCAGTGAGGTAGGAAAGGAAAATATTCAATCTTTTCTGAGGTTCAGAGAATTGAAATAACTTACCCAAGGCATTACAGTCAATAGCAGAGCCAAGACTGGAGTTGAGAGCTGTTCACTCCAAACCCAATATTCTTTCTACTGCTCCATGATGTATAGGCAAGATTGCTTTCCTCCATTGTAATTCTTAGCTTTCCCTTAATTCTATATACTTTGAGAATCTCTCCAAGATAAAAAAGCATTACCTAGGAGGGGATATTTGGGGCAAGAGGAGTGTGGACTGTATTTTAGGATACTATAAATGACTCAGTTCCAAATTAAATTAATAAATTTGGAGGTGATGCTAAGACCAGCCTCATGGAATCAAATACTTCAATGTCTAGCTTCTGCAATCAAAAACTACAAGTCAGGTAATCTAGAGTCTGTGCCCACCTTGGCTGTACATAATTTGGCTAGAAATGACATTGTTTGTTTTCAGACCCAGCCTTTGCTTCCCACTTTGAAATTATGAATAGAACTATGGAATGCATGCTCAGCTGCCATCTTGCCATCAAAGCCCTATGAGGTTTTTTTTTTCCTCAGCTATTTCTATAGCTATTCAGTGATAGAATTGAGATAAAAATCAGGGTCTACTGATTCACAGTCTAGTGCCCTTAACAACGCCTCACTGCTTCTTCTATCAAATATTAGTTTTGCTGACCATATCAAGGATACATTGCTCTATCTTCTAGGCCATGCTGCTTCTCAGGCATGGGATCAACAGGTATTACTGCAATAGACTATCAAAAACTAATATATGAGAAAAAGACACACACATTTTTCTAACTTATTATGGTGTTGGTAATAAGGAAGGAAGAAAGAAAACAAGCATTTATTAAGTGCCAGGTACTGTGCTATGTGCTTTACAAATATTTTTTCATTTAATCCTTACAACTACTCTGAGAGGTAGATATTATTATTATTATCCCCATTTTACAATTGAGGAAACTAAGGCAAACAGATGTTAAGTGACTTGCTCAGGGTCACAAATATCTAGTAAATACTTAGTAGAAAATAAGACCTTAAAAAACAGAACTGGCCAAATAGAAAAACAAGTACAAAAAGCTCATTGAAGAAAATAATTCTTCAAAAATTAGAATTGGGCAAGTAGAAGCTAATGACTCTCTAAAACATAAAGAAACAATAGAACAAAGTCAAAAGAATAAAAAATAGAAGAAAATGTGAAATATGTCATCAGAAAGACTATATGGCAGTTGTTGTTCAGTTGATCGGTCATGACTGACTCTTCATGACCCCGTATGGAGTTTGTTTGACAAAGATACTGGAATGGTTTACCATTTCCTTCTCCAGTGGATTAGTCAAACAGAGGTTAAGTGATTTGCTCAAGGTCACATAGCTAGTGAGTGTCTGATACTAGATTTGAACTCGGGTCTTCCTGACTCCTGGCCCAGAGTTCTATCCACTGAACCACCTAGCTACTTCCATACGATAGTAGGCATTACAAACACTGACTCTGGAGTCAGAGATACTGGTTCAAATCCTACTTCTGACCTGTGTGACTATGAACAAATCACTTAGTCTCTCTGAACCTCACTTTCTCATCTGGAAAATGAAGGTTTGGACCTGAGGACCTTTGAAGTCCCTTCCAGTTCTAGATGTATGATCATCTGATTCCATGTGCATAGAAAGTCAACGTGGTGTTATGGGAAAAACACTTCCTTAGAGTCAGAAGATCTTGGTTTAAATACTTGCTCAGACAATTAGCAAAGTTGTATAAACTTGGAAATATGGTGCCTTTACTCTCTGAGCTACCATTTCCATACCTGTAAAATAAGGGCATCAGACTAGGTGATTTCCCTTTTTCAGCCTCCCCATTCTTTCAAATCCCATGCTTGCTACCTACTGGATTGAGAGCCAGTCTTTTTTGTTTCATGCCCTTTTTAATAGCTTCAGCTCATGAATTATCAGGGGTTATGTTCTTAATGTTATATATCTCAATTGCTCCTTGTGCATAGGATGAAATAACTTGAATTTAGGCCTTGAGATCCCATGCAACATTAGAGATTGTATATATTGACTGAATATGCCTCATTCACCATCAGGCAGGAATCACCATGGTTCTATTTCTGCCTTGTTCCATCAGTGTTAGATTTATTCTTTTGTTGGATTCTGAGATAGCATGACATAGTAGTTAGGACTTAGAGTCAGGAAGACCTGGATTCCAATCCTGTGTCTGATTCTTACTGGCTAGATGACCCCTGGGCAAGTCATTGGACCTCTTCCAGCCTCCATTTCCTCCACTGTAAAATGGAGACAATACTGTCTGCAGTACTTTGTAGGGCTGTTGTGAATCTGAAATGAAATAATCTGTGTGACTTGCTTAGCAAACCCTAAAAAGCAATTCATGCTTTAAAAGAAGGGGAAAGCATGAAGGTTGATGATTATTTATAGAAAATGTCATTGCTTGCTTTCTCAAAATGTGCATGGAGCAGGGGAGAAATTTTTGAGAGAAGGGAAAATACACAAGTAAATGTGTTATTTTAGAAGAAAAAGTGGATGTGGGATGAACATATTGGTATGGAATGGTGATGTTTCTATTTCTGTCAAAAAATAATGTTTTACAGAGAGATTGTTAGGAAAGCTATCCTTGTTATCACTAGAGGACAAATGTCCGTTCACAAATGTGGAAGCAATAAGATAGATGTGTTGTGCATATAAAAAGAAATTAAACATTAGGCATGGAATAAACACTGGATGCCTTTCTGCATGATGCAGCTCGATTTGTGGCCTCTGACACCTGAAACTCTGAACAGAGAGAGACCCTCCATTGTTTAGTGGAATCAGAGAACTCAAGTTAGTTTGCTGAGTGCATTGCTGCTGAAATTTGATTTGAGAATGTTCTCAGGCTTTGAAGAAGACAGTAGTTTATATGGTATTGGGCCAACTCCTGAAAAATGATTGATTTGAACAAAGGTCACTGAGTTCTGATTCCAGAGTTTAATGTTTTTGGCATGGGGTTATTTTTGGCCTCAAAATTACATGAAAAGCAAGAGGTATGTGAAGGATAGAGAAAAGAAAAAAAAATTATCTCTTTGCCAGAAGTAGTGGTTCAAAATTTCATTAGGAAGAAGATGCAGGAAGTTTCATGATTCTTCTTAAGTGCTAATTATAAGTCACTACAGACTCAATTATTTAGAGCAGACAACTCTTTGTTGTTCAGAAACTGACTTTAGTCTATAGATTTATTCAAGGACCTGAAGGCATTTTGCTGCAGTAGAAAGACCACTGGATTTGGAATCAGATTACCTGGGTTCTAATCCTGGCCTGAACAATAACTGCTATGAAGTGATCAGGGCTGTCCTCCAGGGAGCCAAAATTTAGAGGGTGCTGACAACCCCACTGATCCTTCTGCAGTTTAGGAACCAGAGCTTATCACCTACTTATCCATGGTGAGGAGTTAAAATAGAAAGCTCTGGGGCAACCTCTCAGGTTGCCAATCTCACACACCTTAGGGGACCTCCTCCTTGGCCCAACTTTGACTTCATGATTCATGCCGTTTACCAGGAGTACATAAATTGCTAGTTTTTCCACTTACTATGGGTGTGGCCCTAGACAAGTCACTTTGTCTCCATCTCATTTGTAAAATACAAATCAGATTAGGTGACCCCTTATGTTCCTTTGAGCCCTGCATCTTCTGTTGCTACGCTTTTCTTTACCCTCCTGCACCTAGAAAAGTGACATCAAGCCTTTGGTGTGGGCTGGTATGGATATGAGTAGATCAGCTCTACAGAGACACAGTTGCCAGAGTATTTCAAACCTCAAATGCTTATGGACCTTAATTCCTTGAATAAGTAGACCCATCTTCTGTGAAGACCTTCTCATTGTGTCCTCTTTAATACAAAACTGTTTGAGTATATATGTGTATACTCATATATATACATATATATGAGTATAATATGTGTGTATACACACGCACACATAATGTTCATATGTTAAATGTTAGTTCTAAAGGGATTGTTTTCATAGAAATTTCAAAATTGCCCAAGTCCCCACTCTTACCCTCATATCTGGTCTTATGGGGACCTGTGGTGAGGAGGAATTAAAAAAGGCATGAGACAGATTACCAATGGGGATGTTGAATGGATCGAGGGGTGATGGAGATAAAGGGGCATTGAGATTTAGCTCCCATTGAGAACTTTTTAATTCATTGTGTATTTCAAGCCCCATGATCTCCTTTCCCCCTCTCTCGGTGAATGAACTTGATATTGTGGGAAAATGTATGTGATAACTACAAACGTCCTTCTTTCCCTTCCTCTTTGCAGACTATTGGCTGTGACGACTACCTAGGCTCTGACAAGGTCGTAGATAAATGCGGTATCTGTGGAGGAGACAACACAGGCTGTCAGATTGTGTCAGGAGTGTTTAAGCACACCCTCACCAGCCTGGGCTATCACCGTGTTGTTGAAATCCCACAAGGGGCCACAAAAATTAATATCACTGAGATGTACAAAAGCAACAATTATTTGGGTAAGTTTATTCTTTTTTTTCTTCCTCCAGGGGAAATGATCTATTGCCTAATGGTGTGCCTATCCAAGAAGCACAAGAAATGTATAGTAGCATTCAAAAGAGCCATAAGAACACACTCATCTGTCTTAAATTCGAATGGATACTTTTGTCTCTCTGGACAGCAAGCAGTAATTTAAGAGCTACCACTTAGCATCTCCATCCTAAATCCTCGCCTTGGATGGATGATGTTAAGGAAAAAAAACCTCATATAGCAAGCATATGTGAAACATCTATATATTTAAACCAGCCCTCCTTTGTTTTGAGAGACATAGTTAAGGAAATGAATATCTGCATAAATAATTTCCCGACCCTGAGTAAGTAAGGGAGGCTGAATAACTAAGGAAACTTCTAGTCTGGTGGTTTGGGATTTGGGGGAGAACAGCTAATGTTCTTTTCCTTCATTTCCTCGGGCTCTAGAAGATGGATTGATTTTATTTTCTTCCTGTTTCTGCTTTGGCTGCCTATGACATCAGGTCTTTGGGCAGAAGTCAACAAAACCACTGTAGAGCAGGTTTGGGAAATACCTCAGATGTTGAGAGTATATGCTCACAAAATTACCTACAGATGAGATCCTTGCCTAATACTTCAGGGCACATGGACTAAAGAGTTTGAACGCAAACAAAGCAAACCAACCCATAATGGAAAGTATTTAGGTTGATTAACTATGTATGGGGACTTATACATAAATTATGAAATGCAACAACTCTCAAGCAATGTCCTACAACTACTGACAATGCCTCATTGTGGTTATTACCCTTCTCTTTTTCTTTTTCTTTTGTTGTTTTGCTACTGGCTCATTTACTTATTCATCCTCTCATCCTAGATTCTAACACAATCAAGGAGTGTGTCCTAATTTTCATAAATAAAATTGTCACATTTCTCTCATTAATCAGTTAGCTTTGTATCCCCATCTAGTACATTTCATAGTATTTAAAAGTACTTATCTGAACAAGACATAATGGAAAGAGCATTGGTTAGAAATTAGAAGATGTGACTGAATTAATAAATGAAGGAAGTGATGGTTGAATGAAAAAGCGTTTTTTAAGTATTTATGTGGCATACTCTGTGTGAAGTGCTGGATATAAAAGTGTGAAAATAAGACAGCCCTGTTCCTCAAGAAACTTAAATTCTAATAGGGGAAACAAAATATTAGTGGAATAGTGGCCAAGAAAAGGTATTTTATTCTAGGGATAATCAGGTGGGTGATGAACAAAAGTTGTAGGGCATTAAATTGATATGCCCATTTTCAAAAGCAATGATAGTTTTGTTTATATGATTACTAGAGTAAAAGGTAGGCCTGAGGTGGGGGAAGGAGAGAATGTGGAAAGTGCTCTTTATTTGCCTTTAATGGCTCTGCTTGGTTTCAATTCCACAAACATCATTCCTCCCCCAAAATATGCTCATGACCAAAAATCTCATCATCATTCAGATTGACTAAATTTTTAATACTCAATACTTTCTCAGCATCTGCAGTTACTTCTTTACCTCCCCCAATGGAAGAGAGGAGCAGTAAATTTCTCCCAAAGCCTTCCTTGACAGAAGGCTTAGAATTTCCCAGGTAGCTCTCCATTTTCTATCAGTGGCTCTGGCTGGTTTTGATTCTACAAACATCACGAACAGGTAACCCATAGTGTCTTGCTCCCCCTGCTTTTTAGATTCCTTTTCTGTATTGTGTTTACGCATTAGATTGTAAGCTCTTTGAGGGCAAGGACTGTCTTTTTCTTATTTTTATCTCCAGCTCTTAGCACAGTGCCTGGCACATAATAGGTGCTTAATAAATACTTACTGGCTGACTGACAGTATGTGTGGTAGTAGCTCAGAAGTTAACTAGGGTAAATGATCACGTTGGTCTGAATCCAGTGAGACAGAATATGGTCTCATCTATCAGGACAGTTTGGCCGCAGAGTCCATAGCTCCTTCCTGTGACAGTCTTTTCCTCCAGAGGAGGCTTAAAATGCTGCTTTGGTAGCTTAGAAAATGGCCATTCTGGCTCTGATACTTCCTAGTTATATGACTGAGCAAATCTTTACCACTCAGGGAGTTGAAGCAGCTGGGTAGCACAGTGGATAAAGCCCTGGGCTTAGAATCATAAAGACTCATCTTTGGAATGCAAATCCAGCCTCAGACACTTACTGGCTGGGTCAGCCTGGTCCAATCACTTAACCTGCTTGCTTCAGTTTCCTTATCAACAAAATGGACGGGGGAAGGGAATGGCAAACCACTCGAGCATCTCCCAAGAACACCTCAAAATGGGCATAAAGAGTTGGATGTGACTGAAATGACTGAACAACTGTAACAACGAATCTGACATACCTTCCAACCATGATATTCTGTGATTTTTGTGATAAAATGTCCATGTGGTCTTTGATCCTTCTGATTATCTCAGTAAGACCTCCAAAAGCTCAGCCGACACCCAAAGGAAACTGAGGCCCAGCAACAACTGGAGAGTCAGAAACGCTGCATCTCTAGGTGCCAGGGGCCCATAGATAGTTAATACCAAGCCATTTTCTGTAGTCTTTGAGAGACAGTATGGATAGAGCACTAAACTTGAAGTCAGAAAGATCTAGGTTCAAATCCTACCTCTGATACTTACTGTATGTGTGACTTTGGGCAAGTCACCTAACAGCTCTGTCTGTGCTTCGCTTTCCTTCCCCTGTAAAATGATGAGGTTGCACTAGATAACCTCTAAGTTGTCTTCTGGCTCTAAATTTGTAATCTATACCATACAGACACAAAACCAGAGAAGATCTCATTTTCTTATACTAAGGGGATGGAAACCCTCCCACGTACACATGAGGAACAAATGATCAAATTAAAATGGTGGGTTCAACTTATTTTGGCTAACTTTCAGGTCACCAATTTAGTCTTTGGTCTATTTTTCCTGGTTTGAATGTGATAACTGATGAAAGAAAGTCGTTTTTTCATGTTTTTTAAAACCCCTTCTTCTCTCAACCCCCAAAATGCGTGTAAGGATAAATGATTAAATATTTATAAACATCCCATCTCCTGAAGTGGAAAATAAATGGAGTGCAATTCTGTACAAAAATTCCACCAAATTATGCATCCTCTTAGTTGCTTTGTGTTGGTTTTTTGGTAACATTTCCTTGGCAAGAAAGATTGACTCTGCCCTTTTATCAACTTCTGGGGTTGTTGTTTGAAGCCAGAATTAATATTATGAGGTATCCATCTGGAGTGACCCTTATTACAAGGTATGTCCCAAAGAAACAACTTTCCTGTCTCCTCCACCACCACTTTAAATTATTGTTTTGTTTTGTTTTTCCTACTGTCTCTGTAGGACTGTTGCTACTTTTTCCTGAGTCTTGAAATGTCAGTGAGGGAAATGCTTAGTCCAACTGCCCTTTATCAGTCTCACGCCATTTACTTTTAATTCTGTAAAGTCCTGTGGATTTCAGGGTCATCACACATATTCCTATACTTAGCTAATTTGGTCCCTTGGTCATTCCCACTATGGAGAATGATTCCCACCAGGAAAAATAGACCAAAGACTAACTTGGTGACCTGAAGGACTGCCTACTGCTCCCAAGGTAGGATTTCCATTATATTCTAAGGGTCTTAGAAAATCCACTCACAACTTCCTGGGCCTCCTGGGAGTCCATCAGAATCAGCTTTGTGTCTACAAGGCTATTGTAGACTTCTATGAGTTAGTGCAGAATGAGACCTGGCTTCACTGATTTCCAAGTGTTTAAGGTAGGGTATCATTTTCCTGGATATTATCTGAGGGTATAATAAATGTTTCTCTTTCTCCTTTTGATGGCCTGTGAGATTGGTCAGTTATCACTTCAGCTCCTGAAGTGAACCCATTTTTGACTATGGGGAGACAGTGTGATGCAGCAGAAAAACCTGGATATTAAATCAGAGGACTGGATTCTAATTACTCAGATCCACTGGTGGCCTTAAACAAGTCAATTTCCTTCCCTGAGCCTCAGTTTCCACAAAATTAAATAAAATTTCCATCCTACCTATAAATCTATGCTCCTTTCTGAATACAGTGATATGAGAGGTCTGGACTAGAAAATCTTTAAGGGCTGCCTTGAAATCTGATGACCAGAAACTACTGAGATGTTTACAAAGTTGGTGGAAACATGGTATAAATGAAGGGGAAACAAGGATTGCACAAGTCAGTGGGAACTTGTTAGGTTGATTACGCATATTTGTTACAAGGCTTTTGTTTTTCTTTGTTGTTGCTGTTTTTTCCCCAATAGGGGTGGATAGTGGGTAGAGGGAGAGAAAATCAATGCTTGTCAATTTTTTTGAAAATTAAAATCACGTTAAAAAAAACCAACAACCCAAGACATTCAACTTCTCTAGGCCTCAGTTTCCACATCTGTAAAATTAGGAGTAGTGGACTGGATGACCCTCAGGTCCCCTCTATCTCTGAATCTATGATTTTGTGATTGGCAGTCTGGTTTCAGCCAGCTAGAAAGGTTAGAGAAAATGCCATATTTTCACAGCAATTTTGCTAGAAGATTGGCTAGCTGTTTACATCCATAGGTAAAATAGCTCTTGCTATAATGAAAGTTTATCTGAAAAGCAATTGCAAGATTAGCACATCTTTCTTCCTGTTAAAATGAAGTTGAATCAAATCCCAATGACCTTCCAATAGTGTTGCTGGCTGTCTTTTTTCCTTAGGCAGGTTTAGTAACATTGCAGCAATTGTATTTGACAGCATGGATTGGATTTAAATCAAACACAATTTAAGCCAGTAGTCAGGAGAGCTTGGTCTAATCATTTTTGTCCCCTGTAAAATGTTCATTCTTGCTTCTTGGTATAGCTATTTGCCTTTCTTCGTACCTCATGTCGAGATACATTTTATTTTTGTGAAGTGTAGACATGATCTCTTTTAGAACAGTAATTTATTTTTATTAGAGTGGGGAAGGAGATTTTTGAAAGCTGAACAATAATTTGCTCATTTCAGTTATCAGTACTAATGAAGGAAGATT